TTCGTAAACATACACATATTTATAAAGTTTGATACAGGCATAATAAAAAAGTATTTATAACAAAATAACACAAGAAGAAAACAGACAGAAACAGATAAACACGTTAAATTTCTTGTTTGAAAACTGATGCATTGTGATTTTATAGTTTTTAGTTTGGTTAGTAGCGAATTTGTCATGCGAGAACTCTGCGTGCCTCTCTACCTCCCTACTTTTTGAAAAAACTTTATTTTCGATTAAGAAACAGGTATATATTAACCAATACTTTCAAAGTGGATTTTGTCGGATAGCTTTAGCACACTGTTTTAGAAGTTGAAAAAGAAAACAAATATTCGTTAATACTTCTATGCGCTCTTAACTAAACTATTCTTCTACTCCCTATTATAAAATACCCAATTATTGGGCGTTTGTATGCATTCGTGGTGTTTTAAAAAAATTCGTACTCAAAAACTACGTTGATTCATCAGTCACCCGTTTATTAAACACTCAGTCAGCTGCACTCTGCTTGTGACTACAAAAACTAGTTATTAAAGTGTTGTTTGTTGTATAATATACTGCTCTGACATCGGGGGTGGTATCATCATAACTAAAATAACATTTTGGCGTTTTATCGTACTATAAAGTACGTATGTGACACATTAAGCTTATCTTACATTTCTTCAAGATAACATCCACTATATTGTAACTGTAAAATTTATTAAGATCGCAATGATGCAACGCCACTTATAATTTTTTCCACTGCAACAATTCCTAAATTAATGCATACCTTCTAAAATTACTTGCATAGTTGTATTTTAATGGGAAGGTATCAAATTGTGTGTTTAACCTGATTGTTATTTGGTGTTAATTGCACTAGGATTAAATATTGAGAAAGTACATTGTCAAGTATTTGTCAAAAATTGCCGTTTTGTATATGGGTAAGCGACTATTGCTTATTGGGTAATAATAAAAATAAAATTTTCATATACATTAAAAAATTGTATAATAGAAGCGAAAATGATTTGTTCTGCGGTTAAAATATATACGGACAGCTATATTAGACGAACAACAGTTTATAAATGACACTGATAGGCGTGGAAATACGCCTCTTTTCATTGCATTGTTTTTTTTTTGGTTTGCTTTTTATTTGGAGATGTTTTTTTAATTATTTATCTAATTAAGTTATGGCAAACTTTATTGAGATTCTTCGTGTCCGTGTTCGAGTTTACGGCGTTGCTATTTTTTTGAATTTCGATCATTTCGTAGAATTCTCGTCGTTTGGAATGGTTTTCAGTACTTAATATTTTTGTTTTTTGAAAATCAAATTGTTTGTGGCGTGGTTAGAAAGGGCTGTTTTGTTTTTGTTGTCATATTTATGACCATCTATACGACTGTTTAACTATTGGCTTGTTTGTCCAGTGATTTGATACACTACATGGATTTTTTTATTTTCTGTGTGTGTGTGTGAATCTTGGCTTTTAATTTGCTAAAATTGCTTTTTAATAGATTATGTCCCTTATGTGCCACTGTTATGTCATGTTTTTTAAATAAATTATTTAGGCTCTCGGATAGTCCATTGATATATGGGAGTGGTACATAATTTTTCTTCGTTGTATCAGTATTGTTTATTTTTGCGATTTTTGATTGTAAAATTTGTGGATTCGTCTTTTGAAAGCCTTGTTTATGAGTTCATCGGGGTAAGAGTTTGACTTTAGGGCCTGTTTTGCCTTTTCAATGGCTTGTTTCCTGTGTTCAGGGTTGGATAGTTTAATTGTCCGATCGGCTAGGCCTATTATTACTGATTTTTTTCTGTGTTGTGGAAAGTTGGGATTTGAAATTGACATATCTAGACGACCACGTGTCTTTGGTATACCATTTGGTTCTAATTTGGTTTTTGCCATGGTATAATGTTAAGTTTAAAAAGTTAATAGCGTTGTCTTTCTCAGTTTCTATTGTAAATTGGAGTTTATTTGGTAGGCGTTAAATTTCTTTAAAATATGGTCGGTTTCGCCTTATGGAATTGCACTCACAATCATCGACGTAACGATAGAATAAAGGAATGTGAAAATCAAAATCACTCAATACTGATTCTTCTAGGTCTTCTAGCACTAATTGTGCTATAACGCTCGAAATTGATGAACCCATGGCACAACCGTCGATTTGTCTGTAGTATTCATTAAATAGGAAGTAGGTTGACCTTAAAGTTAATTCTACAGCTTGAAGGAAATCTTCCAAAAGTATATTTGTGAATTTTTCTATTTCCTGCCATTTTTTTCTAATAATGTCTTTAGCTAGGATAATTGGAATATTGGTGTACAGAGAGACAAAGTCTATAGATATCAGAACGTAATTGTCATCTATATACACATTTTTAATTAAATTTTTAAATTTAAATTTAAAGTCAAAAGAATTCTTAATATAGTACTGATTTTTCTTTATGATGTTCTGTATTATTCCTTTAAGAAACTTAGAAAGGTTATCGAAAGGAGACTGGGTACAGGATACTATGGGGCTGAGTGGAATACCTGGCTTGTATAACTTTGAAATATATATACAGTAACTTGGTAACTTGTTGCACAAAATAACTACGAAAGAGTGTGTTAAAGTAACTGAAGGTACCCGACGAAGTTCACTTTAAAAATATTTAGTAATATGTACTTGTTTAATAATAAAAAATAAATTTATTTAAAATAGTAGTTAAGAAGGTACACAAAAGAGTTCATGTATGAACATTTCACCACTAACCAAACTAAAAACATTTTTCAAACAACAAAAAATGTAATGTAAGTACCGAAATGAATACATCAAATTTCAACGAATTGACTGCTCTGTAAAATTGTTTTTAGTGTGCTTTGTTATCTAGTCCTAATGCAATTAGCTTACTAGCTAGCGATGCGCGCAAGCAATTAAATCATTGGCTTTGTTCATCAGCTTCTATTAAACAGTGTTTAAAACTTGTGTAGAATTATGTAACCAGCACGAGAAAAGTAACCCATTAAACTATTCTTTATATACGCCACACACCATCTATATCGCATGGTAAGCGCTACATATTGTTCACCAACAACATTGTTTATTTTAAAGTAAACTTTAAATGAACAGCTTCCTATTCAACCTTAACCTTAATCTTAAATAAAACTTTTTGCGTTCATATTTTCACCTAGACTTTAAAGGGGATATTTTTTACTTATTTTTAAAAAAATAGCAGTATGGTTTTTTAGCTCTTTATCGTAACAACAAAAACAAAAAAATCAATAAGTTCAAATTTTTAAAATGGAACAGACACCAATTTCAAAAATATATATCTTGTTGGTATTTAGTTTAGCCGCTTTTGAAATAACTTGAATTAATTATTTAAAAATAGCATTTAGTAATCACTATTCTAAACACCAACATTATTGCCTTGGAGAATCAAACATGGTTTAGGTATTGATAGCACCCTCATAGATATCAGTAGTGTCATAATGAATATAATTTCCAGAAACATTAAATAAAATAATTTTGTTTTTTTTTCCAAACAATGAAAACGTTTCGCTAGTTCGACACTATTAGCCGTAAATTTGCCTAGCACAACGTATGCTTTGGTTATTTCAAAAACGGCTGATTCATATAACGAGAAACGATACATTTTTTGAAATCGCGAAGCCAAGGACTGAGTAAAAACATACAGTGCGTTTTATTTAAAAAAAGTGAAATTGTTAATTTTTTAATCTTTACGAATCCTACAGGCAAAAAAAGCTGGTTTCTCCATTTAAATCATAACATGCATAACGTAGAAAAGACTGTTTTAAAGTTAGTTAGAAACTTATATCTTACACTTACAAATACAATAATGAGGCAGTATTTTTCTCCGAAATATTACATGTACTTACAACAAAACTTCGCAGCATGGGTGTTTCAAATCAGTTAAGAAATGACATAATAAATAAAATGAGTCAAATTGTTCACATATAAAGGGGAATAATAATAAATGTAATCATAACTGATTTTTGATCAATATTTTGCAATAAATTTGATTATCTATTATTATTTATTAGGTAAATTAAAATTTAACCCCACAAAAAACGTAAAACCGATCACTAAGCTTGCTGAAAATAGATTAAAATTAATGAGTCATATCTTTCTTGCGTTGTTTCTTTTGTGCGGCAGAAACAACTATACGTGAGACGTTTTGGATTTTTGTCCGGTTTAAGTGTATATCATATAGTATATGGATTTGCCTTGCGATAAAATTGATTTTTCCTACCTGGTCAGTAAATAATAGAGAAAACATCATATACCTAACCTTTTTAAATAGCTCTTTTAATATACTATGTAGGTGGGTGTCAAAATATAAATGAAAAACAACGAACCTGCAACATCACAATAATTTTTCCGATTTTTGGACATTTTATATCACAAAACCTGCACTCTGATCATACAGGAACCCATTAACGTACTAGATTGCTAAAAGCATTCTAGATTAAAGATATTTATAATCCATTTACTAAAATAACGATAAAAGCAAATATTGGGTAGAATATCCTACTCATCCCTTCGCGGCCCGGAAATGACGTTATATCGGGGGAAGTGCAATTATTATCGAGCATATTTTATTTATTCGTCGACCACTCTCGCTGAAACTTGAAACCACCCGTCAAACGCTCAAGGTCGAACGATACAAATCCGCACCCGTCGCTACTACCCACTTACGGTTATCGCACTGTTTTTATCGGCACCGTCCGGTTTTAAAACGAATAAACGCGGAGCGGTCGCTCCGACACGACGTTCGTCTCCTCCGGCGCCGTAAACCTAACCTAAAAACGAGCCGGGCGGCCTTCGGATCGAATGGGCGGCGCCTCGCGCGACCGCGTCCCTCTCCGACCGCGAAGCAACGTAATCACCGGTCTCGACTACGTCGGGATCGCGTTGGCCGCGAATCCGCGCGCTCGTGGGCGGGGCGCGGGTCGCGTATCGCCGCACGCTGACGCTCCCTATCGGCCGACGGGCGCAACTAAACCCCCAAGCCGCCTATTACATGATTATTCTTCATTATAGTCCCTACGCTCGTAGGAAGTAGATGGTTGGTGGTTATCGAACGGTCAATTTTCTACGCAGCGCGGTCGAGAGGAAAAAAAAACGACCGCGTACGGGCGCAATTTGGTTCTCTCGGGCCCTCGAATAGTTTTTACCCAATTACCGGGGACGGGTGCGAATTACACGTATTTACCCGCGTCAAATTGGTCGTCGCGCGCGCCGCGCTCTCTCTCTCCCGTTCCCTCTCACTCGCGCTCGATCCGTTTAAAGTTATTAAACATTATTATCGCGGTTTTTTGGATTAAACGCGTATTTTCCGTTTGGTGCGCGTGCCCCCCCGCCGAATTAATTATTTTTGGTGACCAGTGAACAGTGCGGCCGACACGATTTTCTTCAAAACGCCCCCCAGTTTCGTCAAGGTGGAAAACAAACCGTTCACGACGTTAAACTTCACCGATTTGGGGTCCCCGTTCGGGGGACCCAACGAGGAGCCGCCGGGTACGCCGACGATGTCGGCCGAGGGGCACATAGGGCCGCCGACGCCCCACGATTCGACCAACTCGACGCCTGTATCGAAAAGCGCGTTTATCGAGCTCCAGCAGCACGGCTACGGACCGCTGAGAACATCGTATCAGCACCATTTTAATGCCCCGGGAGGTAATGGGCACGGGGGCCCGACGGCCCCCCACGACGCTGGTTTTCCTAGCCCGAGGGGCGCGTTGGGCGCTTACCCTTTTCCGCCTATGCACCAAAACTCGTATACGGGATACCATCTGGGATCGTACGCCGCCAATTGTCCGCCGTCGCCTAAAGACGATGGTAAGTGCTAGGCCCGGTGCTAGGCCGCTGAACCTGAAGAACACACCCTTAAAATACAAATGTTGTGCCGCATGCTAAAATATCTTACCCTTTGATGAAGGAAAAGTTTGAGGTAACAAAGCAGTTAGTGAGTGATGAAGAAAAATCGAGTCGTACTATGGAGCGATAACATTTGCTCCCCACCTAATACATATAAATTATTATTGACTTTACTTGTTCGTATTTTTATGTTAGGGTATGGAATAATACAATTTGGAAAAAAAATCATGTAACACCCAAGTCAGGCCGAACTATGGTTAGCAAAAACAAATGCTGTGTAACAAAAACGCAAGTCTCAAGTGTGCTGATTTTGATTAGAAAACGCGCTCGTTTTATGCACTGAATCACGTGTAGCTTTGTTCAGTTCTTTTTTGATACGATTTCTAGTTCCCGTACTTCAGTTTCTGCTTACCTTAAAAGCTAGGCACAAGTCTCACTTTAGACAAAGAATATGTTTCGAATTTCTTAATATCAAAAACGAAGGAGAAAAGAATCATGCAAAATACATGAATTTTTACCTTCAGTTCGCCATTCATGTATCGATAATTAATCGAGTTACTAATCATTAAAAAAACAATTTCTATTATCCCGCGCGGGTGTTCTTGGAAACTTGAAAAATTTGTTATGAAACGTGCCGTGAAGACAAGTTCGTTAATATCTCTTACTTTGAGAAATGTGTTCATTCTTTATCTGCTGTCAAGAGTGAAATTAGATTTCTTGGTGCAATAATATAGTTATTATTTAAAAATGAATGCCGGCGATAATTTTTGTAACGTGAAAATGGGACTTACCAACTCCACCTACTAACTTATCGGGCGTATTTTGGGAAAAATCAAACCTTTTATAAACATTTTATTACCCCTTAATTGGCTACCGTTGCTTAAAGGAAGCGCTAGTTATCGGCTTGGGGGTTAAGAGCTTCAATGTAATGATCTCAACACTTAAGATACGGATGTAGTGACATAAGAATCTCTTACCTTCGAATGATGGTTGCTCCAGTTGTGCTTATAGCATACACATTCAATACACCCAACATATTTAAATTATTATTGGAATTTACTTGGCCTAGTTGATATTAAAGGAGGATGTTGCGGTATGGAATAATACAATTTAGAACAACAATTCAAACCAGAGTGCGTCAAGTCCAAACAAGTATCGAACTGTGTGACTTTAAATGCAAATCTCAAGCGTGCTATTTTAGGTTAAAAAATACTAGCGTCTGACGTGTCTGTTGCTGAACAACCATGGTCCTTGAAAAATTCTTGCAAATTTCTAGTTTTATTCAGTACTCTTTGGTAGTTCGCGTATTTTTTCTTCGTACTTTCCTTGAAAGTTCGGCACAAATCCCAATATCCCATTTTCCATAAAGAATATTTCAAAATTCCTAATAACAAGAAAATGACCCATTCATTTTCGAGTAACTTACTACTAAAGAAATGATGGCTATTCTCCCGCGAAGATTATCAACAACGGTGTTCTTGAAAACTTGCAAAATTTGTGACGAGTGTGCCTTGACGATAAGTTCGTTAATATCTGCTCTTTATTTCTAACTTATTTTGCGAAATTCTTTACATGCTGCCAAGGGTGAAATTAGTAATATGGTTATTATTTTAAATAAGGGTGGCAGCAATAACTCTCGTAAAAAGTGACTCACCAACTCTACTGCTTTAGTTACCAGGTCAGGTAATTTCTGCGAAAGAAAAACCTTACCAAATCTTTTATAATAGTTTTATTAAACTTAAAAGTTTGCGAATTAACGATACATATCAAATCGACACTCGAGTTGCAAGTCTGCAAGATTGCTTTTAGGTACAGCCTTGGGTTTAGTATTCCATCCGAATTACCACATAGTTCTAAGCCCCTTAACTTCGTTTTTTATAATTCCCTCTTTTGCCATAAAATAAGAGTGACTTTTTTGGTTCAATGTTCAACCAGAGTTCTCTTGTATATAAATAGTCAACATTTCAGACCGTTACAGCCATTTTACTTTCTTATGTTGAAAATAAATGGCAAACCTTTTATAACGAAGGAAAAGTAATTTCTGTCAACTGATCAAATGGTATATTTTATACAACTACGTAACATTTGTCAATTTCGCTACCTTGTTTAGAAAATATATTTATAATGAAACATTCCCAAAGTCCAATCTATAGTAGGCTCGGTGTTCGGTATCCGATTTTCACGATATGTATAGAGTATGAAGCTCAATAACCAGAAACGGAGATATGAATCGGTTTTATTACCATCGATTATATCCAATTTACCTTGTTTCTGAATACGAGTCGGTTTTTACAAGTATTTGACATTTGGCAGTTGTATTATTAACTTTGCCGTCGAACCTACTTAGGCAAACAACAAACACGTCCTTATCAAGGCCATTTCAATTCATTTTTTTTTCTTTTTTTAATCTAAGATCTTTCTGTTCAATCATGCTCTCTGTTCTTTTTCGTGTTTCTCGCTTTAGGTGAGCTATACCAAAAATCTAGCATTCAATATCGCGGAAAATTCAGTACAATTATGAAATTATTGGTACATCAACATAATAGCAAAGAATCACCAAATCAAAATAAGGAGCAATTACGGCCCAAAAAGGTCAGTGGTCGTCAGTCTAGGGAAAATTAACAACGATATCGTTAAAAACGAGATATATTGAAAATAATGGACGTCTTCTCTGCTCCCCTCTTAAATTCATCATCATTTTTTCTATTTAAACAATTCCGTTTTTTTATTCTTGTGCCCTACATATTTGACTTATCGATGAAAAGAAATCAAAATCAAGGCAATAGTACTTTGATTGCTTGAACTGTGACAATTCCTAAATGGTAGAAACCGACTACGAATTCAAAACTTCCATACGGGAGGGTAAGTGTCGTAAGATTTGTCGACTTTCCACTGTTAAAGTGTATAGTTGGTATCATCCTTCAATTGGGTTTGTTAAACTGCATTGGAATCCCTCAATAGCGACCAAACTTGGGGAATCAAATATTGGTCGTTTTGGTTAAGAATGGAAAAAACAGAGGTTTTACAGTATGTTTACCATTGATTCCTTAAACCCGGACTTAAACGATCACAATTGCCGTCCTTACTAAATAACTCATGTGTGAATCTTCTTTTTAAAACTCAAGCGGTCTTCTTGTTTACTTGTTTTACTCATTACGTCCAAAAGTAGTTTGAACTGTACAGCATGTTATCTAAATTTCTGCCAAGTGCTGCTATGCAGTGCTACACTTATATACCTACACTAAATTCAAATTCTATGTTAGGGTTTTGCGAATTATTTTATGCAATGTTTGAAAAATAATAGGTTATGCATGTTTTCTTTCCAAAGAGGTAAAATTTTGATACACACTTTTTTTTTCAAATCAACTGCCACAATGCTTTCACAATCGTTAATATAGAAACAGCCAAAATTTTAAATATAGATTCTAATTTCGTTTCTCGATTGTTCATTGATAATAGCATTCTTGCGAGCTAAGACAAAGTTATAACAAAATTAATTTTTGGATCCGATCCGATCTAAAGCTAGAACTACAAACCAACCAACTTGTGTTTTATAAGTGGTACAAAGCTTAAAAATTACCTCAGTTTTGTACAATAACGTTACCACTTATCTGAGCCAAAGGGCCAAGTATTATAGCAAAATTTATTGAAAGAATATTTCGTACATACTTTTAAGTCGATGTGTCCAAACTCTCTAGAAACTTAAGTCACAAGTATATTTGGTTTATTTTTTAAACTGCTAATGTATTTTGCTGATTTGGTTACAATATTGAGGCTGCTTATAATCATAATAATAACACTTTAAACATCCATCCAACATTTATAAAATGCAACTATTCAACTTCTCTTCTCTAAAATAATAGTAAAACCACATAACACAATATATACACTGTAACAAAAAATTATGTTTAATTAATGTGGTAAACTCTGAAGTATTAAGACAGAAGTCATCAAATAAGTTCATCAACTAATAGACAGGACCTTTGATCAAATTGTTTCTTGGGGTTACTAAGTGCAGTCGACGGAACATGAAAATTCAGTTGGCACGTGGTTTTGGTAAAAACTACAATTTAACAGTGAGGCAACCTTAACCATTTTCCCTATCAGTCCTCTAGACGGATATAAAAACATAAAAGTTAAAAAAATTGGAAACTTTCTGTGTGTGTTTTCATTTTGAGTCGAGTGACGTATTCGATTGGTTGCCATAATGGCGAACCATACGCTTAATTAACTATAGTATAACAATTTAAAAGTATCTTCGCTTGTAAAACCTTTAATCTTTTTAAAAAATAAGAAAAATAACATAATAATATACACTTCCCCTTTTTCTATCCCCATCCTGTTTCTTATATCTGAGTGTACAAAACCAAAAGTGCTGAAAGTTCGTTCTACTGCACACAGGAACTGTTTTCTTATTGGTAGCTGTTTCGCAATTCCTGACTCCTTTTGTGATGTCCACCATTTCATTTAGTTTTTTTGTTATTTCATCCGAAAACATATATTCTTTAATTTGGCAACTGCGGGCATTATTATTAATGGCAAAAGCCCAGTGTTTCCATATGAATTATGAATTGTTTCTAAAGCCAGATTCTTTCATTCAACATATAGGTAGGCTATAAAATGATATGGTGTGAGTACCTGGTTATGTCGATTCTGAGTTTTTTGTATTTTCGAAACAACATTCTCGAAGATATATTGTAAATGTTTCCACTGCTCTACAGCATCTAAAATAGTAGCGTTTTTTTCTGATATTGGTTTTAAAATTCTTAAATATTCTTGTGCTGCAAGTTTAAGCCCAATATTTGACACCATCTGTGGTAAATGGTCGAATCAATTTGGTTTTTGTTTTCTTCACAGATTTTTATTAATATATCCCACTGAGTGACGTACATGTTTAAACAGTCACACATCACTTGGAAGGAGTAAAACGTTACCTCCAGCTTCAATGAATTTCGCTCTAA